AAAACTAAAAAGAGAAATTGAAAATGAAACAAAAAAGTGGAATGGCATCCCATGTTCCTGGATTAGAAGAATTACTATAATCAAAGTGTCAGACCTACTCAAATTAATTTACAAATTGAATGCAATCCTGATCAAATTTCCGGAAAGATTCTTCACAGAAATAAAAAACACAATCATAAAATTTGTCTATAATCATAAAAGGTCCTATATTACCAAAGCCATACTGTGCAAAAATAAATAAAATAGGCATCTCATGTCCTGACCTTGAAATATGTTACAAAGTTGCAGTAATCAAAACAACATGGTACTGGCACAAAAATAACTATGTAGACAGATGGAAGAGACTAGAGAACCCAGAAATAAGCCCTAAAACATACAGCTAGCTGATTTTCAACAAAGGGCACAAGACAGTCCAGTGTGTATGGGGAGGAATCTCTTTAGCAAATGGTGAAGCTAATGGATATTCACCTGCAGAAAAATAAAACAACCCCTCTCTCACCATTAATCAGCTCTAAATGGGTCAAAGATCTAAATTAAAACCACAAACTATGAAACTACTTCTGGGAAATTCTTGGAGACATCAGAATAATTCAAGACTTCTTAAATAAGATCCCCAAAGCACAGGCAATTAACAAGTGGGACTGCATCAGGCTCAAAAGTGGTTGTACAGTACAAGAAAAAATAAGGTGAGAAGACAACTCTCAGAATGGAGAACATATTTGCAAACTATGTCTTAGAACTGATAACCAGAATATACACGGAACTTAAACAACTTACCTGCAAAAAAAAAAAAAAAAAAATCCAATTAAAAAATGACCTAAACAGGCAACTCACCAAGGAAGACATACAAATGGTCAAAAGCATATGAAAAAATGTACAACATTTCTTAATGTTAAGGAAAATGCAAATCAGGACCATAGTGAGATACCACCTAACCCCAGTCAAATTGGCTAAGATTAAAAAAGTAAAGAATAGTAAGTGCAGGTGAGGCTGTGGTAAAAAGGGAACTTTCCTACTGTTGGGAGTGTAAATTAGTACAACCACTGTGGAGAACAATATGGAGATTCCTCAAAAACCTGCTACTAGAAGTTGACCCATATGACCCAGCAGTTTCCCTCCTGGGTATTTACCCAAAGGGTAAGAAAACAGTCAGAAAAACACTGCACATCTATGTTTATTGCAGCAATAGTCGCAATTGCTAAGACATGGAATCAGCCCAGATGTCCAGCAACAGAAAAATGGATTGAAAAATTGGGGCACATATGTACTGTGTAATACCACTCAGCTATATAAAAAAAATTAATAAAACAAAAGGCAAAAAACACAATGAGACCTTGGCATGTGATACAGAGTGGACAAAGATGGAAAATTTAATGCAAAGTAAAGCAAACCAGACTATGAAAGAGAAGCATCGTATGTCCCTGCTCAATATATACTGAATATCTGCTTTCTATGGCAGAAACTGAGGGTTTGGAAGGTATAATAGCAGGGAGGGCAACAGTAGATACTAGAGACAGTATAGGAAGGGGTGAAGAAAGTGGTTCAGGGAAAGACAAATTTTTACAGACACAAAAGTTATCTGTTGATAATGATAAGTTATCTGTTGGTAATAACGTGTATGTGGTAATATCTTTGAATTGACTGATATTTACTGTATTCATGTTGGGAAAAACCATTTTTTATGCTGCAAAAATGTACAGTGATTAAATGTAATAAAAAATCTAGCACACACAGAAACCCTGTTTCTAAAGAATTGTAAATACACTATTTCTTTCTGCACATCTCCTATTTCACACCTCATCAAGGTACTGTGAGGTTCAGGCACTGTTTACACATCCTGCGTTTAGAATAGTGGAGAAAATTTTTCATTTGCTGTCATACTTAAAGTGTCCTGGAAATAAAATGACTTTCCCAGTGTAAAAAATAAAAAAAGTTCTATGATTTGGACTGTCCCCATAGTGCAGCAGTGAAATGTGCACAGGGAGCTGGATCCCACTTGACTGACCGCAGTTGGAATCCTGATCTTGGAGGTTTGAAAAACGTTCTATGGGCACATGTGCATGCATGTTCAAAATCCCAACAGGATGGAGAAGTGAAAGAGAAGGAATTACCATGCGACCATGTGCCATCACGAGGCGTGCTTTCTCTCTCTTGCACTATTTTTCTCTCCCTCTGGCAAGCACGTGCAACCTCCAGTAATAAGAAAAGTTAACTAGGAGTTCTATGGTTTATCCTCCCACTGTTAAATAAAAAATAAGCAGGTACGTGCATGCATCTGGCTGTGTTTCACACGGTTCGCAGCCACCTCCAGGATAGATGGCAGCGTACTGTGCAGTCTTCCTCTTCTCACGTGCTGGTGTGTGCTGCAGGGTGTGGCAGGGCAGGTAGTAATGAGACGCCACGTGCTTTCAGAGCTGTGCAGCAGTGCTCCTTTGAGTGGATGAACCACAGTCCATTTGACCAGTCCCTGATTGAGGGACGTGGTGGTTTTCTGTCTGCAGCTACTTCAGGCAGTGCTTTAATGACTTGCCTTGCCTGGGTCTTTTCATAGTTTTGCAAATGTAACTTGGGAACAGATCTCAACAAGTGTAATCGAAGAGTCAAAGGGTAAATGTATATGTAATTTTGCTAGCAGTTGTCCAGTTTCTGTCCTAGGGATTGCTCCGTTCTGTGTGCTGGAGCAATGAACGAGAGACATGAGGTTCCCTTAAAGCGTGGTCAGTACATTTTTTTTCGTTCTTTCACCCCCCCCTTTTTTTGTTGGTAAGTACATTTTTAGAATGTTTCCAATCCATGAGGTAAGAAGTGTTATCTCACAGTAGTGCTTTTTGTTTTTTTGTTTGTTTTTTGTTTTTTTTTTAGAATTATTTTATTTCTTTTATTATTATTTTAAAAATTTGCTGCAGGGCACATATGCTCTCCAGAGAGAGAGAAAGTGAGAAAGCAAGTGGCCATATCTGGGACTTGAACCACAGTTGGCCATGTGGGAGTCCAGCACCTTACCCTCCGTGCCACCTGCTGGCCCCCTCAGAGTAGCTTTAATTAGCATTTCTATTGTGAGTGAGGCTGAGAATCTTCTCATATGTTTAAGAGCAGTTTGCCCGCTGTCTACATCTTTAGCTCATTTTTTTCTTTTTTAATTGCCAGAGATTGTATGTATTTTGCCAGAGTGAGTGAAAGGAAGGGAGGGGGAGAGAGCGTGTGCATGTGACCCTCTTAGTAGTTTTATAATTTACATTTTTTAAAGAATTACTTAATTTTGTTATTATTATTTTTCAAATTTGCTATAGGGCACTCACGAAGGAGAGCTAGAGAAAGCCAGAGAAAGCGAGAAAGCAAGCTACCGGATATGGTTTAAATTGCAATTGGCCATGTTGGAGTCCAGCATCTTAAACACCATGCCACCTGTTTGTCCCCATATTTTACATTTTAAGTTATGATTTATTTGAAATTTATCCTGGTATATGCTGTAATGAATGGATTTAATTTTCTGTCTCCATATGGATGTCCAGTTTTCTCAGAAAACACTGCAGTGTTAATCCCTCTCTCACGCACACAGTTATGGAGATGCTGCCTTTACTGAATTGCTACATTTTTTATGCAGTTTGGGCCACTTATGGATTTTCTTTAAATCCATCCTGTTGGTTGTCTGTCCATGTATAAAACCACGCGGCTGTATGTTACCAGCTTCGCTCGTGGTGGGGCTGCCCTTCCTTATCATTGCTTCACTTTTTCTATCTTGTTTCAGCTTCTTGATGAACTTTATAATCAACTTCCATAGCTCCAGGGGTACTGGTTTCATTAGTTTTTATTTTTATTTTTTAATTTGTAAGCAACTTAAGTAGTTCTAGGAATGGTATTTAATTTATTGTTTAAATTATTTATTTTATTGATTATCATCATTATTATTATTATTATTTTCCTTAATTTGACCACAGAGAGAGAGAAAGGGAAAGTGAGAAAGCAAACCTCCAGGTTTAGGACCTGAACCATTGGCAGTCATGTGGGAGTCCAGCACCTTAACCACCATGCCACCTGCTGGCCATGGTTTTTCATATATAAAATGAACTTAGGAAAAACTGACATCTTACTGATGTGTTGAATAGTCCTATTTGGGACAAAAATCTTGACTGCTTTTTCCTATTCCAAAATTCTTTCCGAAGGATCTAGGGGAAGTTATACCTACAAACGTTAACAGACCACTCACAAATATTAAAAGACACTCTGGTCTATAGATTACAGGACTCTTCCTGTATCCTGTCTGCGGCATAGTATCTTTACAATGCGTAGTGAATCTTATCTCTGCTATAGTAAATTGACATTCTTTTGCTGATTTCTTCTTGAACAAACCTTCCTTTCTAATCACCAGCCTAGGAGTGTGTAAGCTCACCTCTAACCCAAGCCTCTGCTTCTAGATGTCCCGCCTTTTTGGGCCAGGCCAATGAAAAACTCTTTACATTAAACTATTAAACTGCACACTTGGTGTCTTTCTCAAGTCAAATAAAAGGAACCATTGTATCTGAGCATGCTGAGAAACAATCTTAGCTTTCTCTGGGCTTGGTCACTCAATATGGTGATTAGTAATAAATTGCATTAATGATTATTTCTGCAGAGTTGATTATTTCCATTGACACGTCTCTTGGGATGTTTTGCATGCTTGCATGTATACCTGGTATGTTTTCAAGCCACTGGGTCCAGTATTTAAATTGCATTGTTGTCCCTATGGGATCCAGTCATCTTTAACCACCATTCTGTAGACAGAAGTCTGACTGTTTTTTCCTATTTTTTCCAAAGTCCTTTCTAAAGGGGTTTGGAAGACTACCCATAGAAATTTGTGAGTGGATTCACCTTCGTATCTGTGTCTTATTTTGCTGGGAGCAGTAAGGCTATAGGTGCTCTCTGGAGTCACTGGGAGAAGGCCTCCTTGCAGTGTGGCTGGGCAGTGCCCTACTGACCACAGTGCCCCGCTAACTGCAGTCTGGTTTTCCTCTGTCCCCTAGGTACGGAGCTGACGTTGATGTTAATCACCACCTGACTCCTGATATCCGGCCCCCCTTCTCCCGGCGGCTCACTTCCTTGGTGGTGTGCCCCTTGTACATCAGCGCTGCCTACCACAACCTGCAGTGCTTTCAGCTGCTCCTCCAGGCTGGGGCGAACCCTGACTTCAACTGCAATGGCCCAGTCAACACACAGGGATTCTACAGGGGTTCCCCAGGGTGTGTCATGGATGCTGTGCTGCGCCATGGCTGCGAGGCGGCCTTTGTGAGCCTGCTAGTAGAGTTTGGAGCCAACCTGAACCTGGTTAAGTGGGAATCGTTGGGCCCAGAGTCGAGAGGCAGAAGGAAGGTGGACCCTGAGGCCTTGCAGGTCTTTAAGGAGGCCAGAAGTAAGTGGCTTGAGTTCAGTTCTGACTTGCAATCTTGGATTAAATGAATGAACCAAAATGTAGCAATTTAAAAACAAACAAACAAAAACAACTCCAACTAAATACTTGGCATAAATCTTCAATTAGCACTGAGTGTCCCACAGCAGTCATTCTCTTAGATTCCTGGACACCTAGCGTCCATGCCAGGAAATTGATAAAAGCACATGCATGTTCTCGAGTTCCTCAGTTATATTCCGTGCCCTTTTGCTCTTCTCTAGGACAACTCCTTATGTCCTTTGTACGTGATTTTTTTTTTTAAAGGTCCTGCCATAGCACACATGCGCTTGCAGGACAGAGACAGAGAGAGAGGCAGTGAAAGGGGAAGTGAGAAATCACCCCCAAGGGAGGTGGCCATGTTGAAGTCCCTTCTTCATTCTCCTCCTGGAATTTTGGGCATGCACACATATGTGCCTGGCACAGTTTTCAAGCTGCAAGATCTGGGACTTGAACTGTGGTTGGCCATGTGGGAGTCCAGTGCCATAACTACTAGGCCACCTGCTGGCCCTTTGATGTGATTTTTAAGGGAGGGATCTCAGTGCCTCCCTCAGGCCCATGTTTTATATTCCTCACTTACCTTTCTCAGGTCACTCAAGTACAGTTAATTTAGATCATGTGATAAGGCTGCTCTTTCTTAGAATAAAGTTTTTCCTTTGCTTATTTATAAAGAAAGATTTTGCTAATGAATTAATAAATTAATAGCAAGAAAGTTTGGAATTGATCCACGGGTGGTCTTGTCAGAGACTCTCTCTGGGATTCAGAAATTGCCCTTGAGCCTCCGTGACCTCCTGCCCACAGTCACATACCTCCCTGTTCCTGCCTGGATCTTCCTTAACCTCTTGCCTCTTACTTGAGGTTCATTGTGTTTTGTTTCAGATTGCTCTAAGCCAGTTTCATTAAGATAAGCTCTTGTTTAGCTTTCCCAAAACGACTTAGTGGTCACCCGACAGCCATACCAGTAGGATAAAGCTGCTTGCGTTCCTGTCTCCCTGTTACCCTTCACTCACTGAGGCAGGGGTGTGGCTGGCCTGCTTCCTCAGGTACTACTTGGCTGTGGCACCAGGCTGCCTTGGGAGTCCTGGGAGTGACAGAGAAGAGACTGACAGGTGAGAGTCAGTTGCACACATAGCCACAGCCAGTAGCTGACACGTTTCTCTGTTGAGGTCCTTAGGCACAGTCGAGGGTGTGCTCCGCAGAGCAGATGCTCCAGTGAGTGAGGCCGGCAAGAGCAGGAAGTAAGACCCTCCTTGCCAGGGCCCACTCTCCGTTCAGAGGTTCAGAAGGTGGCAGCTGTTGGTTGGTTGCTGCTGGCCTTTGCTCTTTAGAGGTAGGACAGAATTAATCTTCCTTCCTCTGTCTCTCCTTTCTTCCCATGGCTCTCCAGGTGTTCCCAGGACCTTGCTGGGTTTGTGCCGGGTGGCGGTGAGGAGAGCTCTTGGCAAATACCGACTTCATCTGATTCCCTCGCTGCCTCTGCCAGACCCTATAAAGAAATTTCTACTTTATGAGTAAAACTCAGGTGTGGTGTTGACAGATCTGCGGTGGAAATCAACATGAGTCTTGCACCCTATGACCGTATCCCATCGGGCTGCTGGTGAAGAATAGCCTTGTTCTCACGGATGGTAATTCTGCCTCAGGTGTTGGGGCCGCCGAGTAGTCTTGGATCATTGTCAGCCAGGAGGCTCTGCAAAACTTCGTTTTGTTCTTCCTAAATATCTGTTGTGGATTTTCACAGTTGCATATTATTGAAACGGGCCATGAGATGTGTACGTGTGTAGGCTGAGCTTGAGGTCTGCCAGTCCCCAGGATGGAAGGCGCCTAGCACTTTCCAGAACCGTGCTTCTCTCTGTGCATCTCCTTCTCAACCTAATTGCTTAATTACAGCCTTCTCATATCCAAACAAAAAGGGAGTTTTGGTTAAAACAAAGGGCAGAAGTGCAGTTCATGAACTTCTCCACTCCTAGGGTTCAGTAAGGTGTGCTTGTCCCCACACATCCCCTCTGTGCCACTGCAGTGGAGGTGTCATAATAATTGTTTCCATTTAAGGATGGCTTCCTGGCTGCATGGACCATGTTAACTTAGTGCGTGCATCTGTCAGAGTCTTGCAGCCATAGCGTAGAGTTCCACAGCATGGGAGCCCGTTCTGGTACCTTCTGTGCCTCATGCACAGCACACCAACAGGTGTACTGAGTTTTCTGCCATTTCACCTTAGAGAGCTTTCAGACAGCAACTGGTTTAGAAGGCCTACACCAAACAAGCCAGTAACCGACTGCCTTTATTAGACCAAGGTCCGTTCCAGCAGCATTCACTGCCAGCCTAATGGGAGAAGAAAACACCGTGGCACTGTCTTCTGTTTCAGTCCATACTCATGCCAGAGAGTGAACAGTCCAGCTGGTCTTCTGGTAGTCCTGAGCTCCCAATTGCTTGGAGTCCAGTGGACAAAACATCAGTTGGTTGACTGTTCTCACCCATTTGGGCCTAAATATCTTAGCTGCTCCTAGAATCTCTGAAAGCGGTGCGGTCAGAAGACTTTCTCTGGCCTGCTAGGGGTGGTGGATGCTCAGACAGGTGATAGGTTCTCATCATGGATGTCATCGGCCAGGGCTTGCTGTCACTCAGGGCTGGGCAGCACGGCTGAGGGTCACTGGAGCAGGGCCAGTGGCTGTGACTCCCTCGTGCCCAGGATGTTGCTGATTCCACTGAGATCATGTTGTGTCTTTGGGAGCCTCTGAGGACCATCATGGGGATGCCAGGTGGTCCTAAACCTCAGAAGCATTTCAGAATGAGCATGTTTAGATTTGCTGTGTTAAGAGAAATCGAGCGTGTAAAGAACTAATGATACCGTTTTACTTAGTTCTTAACATCTCGTGTGTTTTAGCTGACCAGACAGGCTGTGCCTGGCCAGTACATTCTGTCACTTGAGGGTGGAATCCCACCTGCATGTGTCTTCAGTGGGCTCTGTGTGGGCACACCCCAGCTGACCCATGAATGTACACGTGCAGTTCTGAGGGGTAGGAACATTCAGTGGAGGTGTTGACTCACCTGGAGAGACATTGTTTTTTCTATTTTTTTTTTTTTTTTGGCGTGTGTACCCACCAGAAAGAGACAGAGACAGAAAGTGAGAAATTACCTTCCGGGGAGATGGCCATGCTGCAATCCCTTCTCCATTCTCCTCTTGGGATCTTGGGCATGCATGCACACATGCCCGGTGTGAATTTAAGCCCCTAGGTCTGGGACTGGGACGGTGGTTGACTACATGGGAGTCCAGTGACATAGCCATTATACCAACTGCTGGTCCCCTACTCACGTGGAGAGACATAGTTAAGAGCCGTGATAATTGCATGAATGTGGGGTGGGTTTCAGAGGCCAGACCATATGCTGCTTCTGATGGGTTGGGGCCTGCTGAGATCAGGAGAGTCTTCCTAATAGAGGAGAGGATCTGCAGGTGGGGGCCATGACAGCTGGAGCTGTGCTACAGGAGGGGCTAGTGTGTTCCTTGTGGCCCTCAAGGTAGATGAGGACCAGCATGGGGCTGTGGCTGGACAGGAGATGTCAGGAGTTTGGGGAGTATTGAACAGGAGTTGAGTCACCCACAGGTGGGCAGACTGGGCCTCTTGACTCTGGAGATGTGTAATCAGTGGCTCGTTCCCTGGTTAGGGCCAGAGGGCTTTGAGGCATGGGTGGCTCTTCCCAACCTGAGCCTCCTCTTCACTGCCTTTAGGCTTAGCTGAGGTGCTGGGATGTGGTCGGGGGTAGCATTGATGCTTCTGAAAAATCAGCTTTGGAATCCCAGATGCAGGTTCTGTGACTTTTCACAGAAGAGTTTAGTTACTTATGTATGTATGTGTTTATACTTTGCCTTGTTCCATTAGAGGGTTTAAGGCAGCAGTAGTTGTTTTGGGTGTTCAGAAGTGACATTTGATAGGCAAAATGACTTGTTAGAAAGTGTTTTTTTTTTGGAGAGGTTTTTGCTATAGGGCGTGTGCGCTCGCCAGACAGTCAGAGAAAGACATAGAGACAGAAAGCGAGAAATAACCCCCCAGGGGGGATGGTCACGCCGCAATCCCTTCTCCATTCTCCTCTCGGGATCTTGGGCACACACTCACACCGGGTACGGGACATGAACCGCGGTTGACTATGTGGGAGTCCAGCGACATAGCCGTTACGCTAACTGCTGGTTCCCGAAAGTTTTTTTTTTTTTTATTTTTTTTTTAAGGTTTTGCCATAGGGCAGGCACATGCACTCACCAGAGAGAGATAGAGAGAAAGGGAGAAGTCACATCCCTCCCTTACCTCCTCCCCCAAGAAGATAGTAATGCTACAATCCCATCTCTTCTATTTTCTTGGGATTTTGGGCATGCACGCACCTGTGCCTGGCCTAATTTTCAAGCCACTGGGTCCTCATGAGACTCAAACCGTGGTCAGCCATGTGAGAGTCCAGTGCCTTAGCCACCAAGCTGCCTGTTGGCCCCAAGACAATGAATTTAAAGAAGAAAGAACAGGTGGCAGTTTCCTAGTGACTGACTTGTGTTTCTGTTATTTGGGTTCCATGCTGTTGTGTCAAGTGTTTTAGGAGAGGAACATACAGGAAACAGGACTGAGCAGCGAGCACTGAGAGCGAGCACTGGCCTTGTTAGGGTTAGGGGCTTCCAGGCATGGGTGGCCAGTGCACTTTACTTTCTGTGCAGCTTGAGAGGCTGCACACGTTTGTGAATGCACCTTGTGCACACGAGCAATCTGTGTAGTGTACCCTGACATCATGTGGTCCCTTTCTCAGTGGAAGTATGTTTGAGGCAGTGACAGTGCTGCCCTCTGTGAACTGGAAGATCTAGGCTTGACCTTCTGTTCTGAGGAATGGCCAGAGCTGTTGCAGCCCTTCTAGGCACAGAAGGCTTTGTGCAGGTGAGAAGTCTAAGGACAACCTGGGTAATAATTATGAAGTCATATTATTCAACTTGAAAAACTCTTTTATTCTGAGATTATGTCCTTAATTTGAGTGATAAAATGTTCTTTTATATAATGAAGATGATAGTAGAGGGCAAGATTTTTGCTTTTTAAAAATACTCTGGTTATCTGGCTGGCCCATACATTGTTGATGGCCCTTTGCCAATCCCAGGACTTAGTTTAAGTTTTTCTGTCTCTGAAATCCCATAATTGGGGAACCACTCTAGCTACAGTGTACATTGATGTATTGAGGGAAGTTCTTAGTTACATGGGTACATGGTCTTGCAGCATTTCCCCTACAAGGACAAATTCCCCTGTGTGTAGTTTTAGGATGTACAAACTTCCCTATGGTGATGGGGCTCTGGCCACCCCTGGGTCCACAAGGGACACAGGAAGCATATGTGGCCTTCTCAGTGAAGACTATTACTCCTTAAGTTTGGCACCCACTGAATGTTGGCAGTGTCACCAGTGCCGAGTCTCCTGGTGCTGGGGTGGCATGGGGCTGCAGATTCTGCATGTCACTGCCTGTCTGCCAGGCACTCAGTCACCGGTCCTGATCACCAGTATTCTGGATTTCCTCACCAGCTCTAGTTGTATTCCTGCAAGTACCTCTCTTGACCATCTGACCTCCTTTCTATCCCTCCCTCGCTTACGTCTCACTTCCCTCCTACTTCCCAAATCTAACTCCCTTGGTATGGACATAGTTAGTGTGTTCATGTCCTGGGAGAATTCCACATGGGGGAACATGCAGATTTTGAGGTGCATGGTGTTGTGTGGAATAAATCTATGAATTCCAGGAAAATGGTGGGATGGAGATGGGCCCTGAGGAGTGTCAGGGGTGCCATCTATTGCCTTATGTGTACCTGTTTAGTATCTGGAGTTTATGGGGATTCCTTGTTTTCAAGTTCCTTTGAACTCAAGATTCTTAGATATATTGGTCCTTGAGCCACCCTTTCTTAGGCTCAGGCCCACTCCTTTCTCTTGGGAGTGTACTTTCACTTAATAAACTATCCTTTAATTTCACCAAAAAAAAAAAAAAAAAAAAAAAAGAAAAAAAAAAAAAAAAAGATTCTTAAAAATACTTAGTAATGTATTAAGT